GGGGGGGATAGCTTTAATACATTTTTACAAGTTTTTTAAAGCGATCCTATTTTTTTATTTCATCCAAATTCTCTTTATTTAAAAATGGCACGCATGAAACTTTACATGTCATTTCTCGCTTATGACTTTACGATTCTAATATATATCGCGGTAACTAATCAGGAATCTTAATGAAAGTAAAAAATTATCTTAGATTATAGAAAAATATATATTAATATATTTAATTACACTTTATAATTTATTTTAGAAGACATGATTTTTTGTGAAAATAAAAAATCTCTTATAGATAAATTGCGAAACAAAGATACACGGAGTTCCTAGACAATCTTAATTGTCACTAAAGAAGGTGCTTTATGATTCCCAATGTCACATATTCCTTAGCCATAAGTCTCCGAGACTCACGTACACAAAAACAACAAAAATGTACTGTTCTGCTTATAAGAACTATTGGTATTTACAACAATATCTGATAACAAGTGATTAGAGTATGAATGACTTATACACTATCCTCCTCCTCCTATCTAAAAAAAGGCATGTTAAGTCGAAGTCGAATTATCGAAGTCCCGAAATTTATTGTTGACTCTATTCCGTAACGTTGATTGGTTGTCTCGCTGTGCTTCGTGAGCGGCTGTCATTGTATATTTTGAGACAGTTGCGTGCATTGAAGTTGATGTGTAATAGTAAAAGGTAAAAAGTGTAGCTAAATAGCGCGCGTCTGCAGTGCTAGTATAAGTAAAAAGAGAATAGTATATATATATATATAAATTTTTTTTTACAGTGACTCTTTAAGACTTAGAGCTGAAGGATGTGTGACACAATGTATAGGAATCACATAAAGCATTTTTTTTAATTATAAAAATTGTCTCAGCAGATATTTGTTTTAAGACCTTTGTTCACTAAACCTTTTTTTCTTGTTTTGATAAATACTATCTATTCTTCAAAATATGTAATCCTTTTTTTAAACACCCTATGTATTTTTGTAACTAAGCCTAAAATTAAAATTTAATTGTAAAGAAATAATTCTATTCATTTAGTACCTTGAAGTTTCATATGCACAAATTAAATTTTTTTAAAAACTATTTATAAATTAAAAATTGTTGTCAAAACTTGCTGGAAACAGCTAATTTCAAATTAAACAAAGAATTTGTGATTAAAAGGATGTTCAATAACTTTGGGTTATTTATACAAGGTGAGGCACTTAAAAATGGCCTGAATAATTTCTGAATGATTCAAGATATTGGATTGAAATTTATAGGATTACAATGGCATCATGAAATCTATTATTTAACCTTGAAAACACCTTAATCAGATAGGATGGGGGAGTTGAAAATCTTAAATAGGATGTGGGGTTGAGTGAGGGTTCAACAACTTTGGATTGTCATTTTGAATCCGCCATTATTGATTTTTCCATTTAATTAATGGATTCGTAATTAGTGTGTCTTAAAGAGCACGCTAAAAAATGAAACAATAAAAAATTCGATTATTATAATCCTATGTACAAAACTGCATATCAAGCGTGCATTTTGGATCGCCTAGTTTCATAATTTGCCATTTGATCAGCGAGCCTTAAAACCTTTAAGTTACTAATTATCATGAGAAACTTTTGCAATACATCCGATTAATGATAAGTATTAAGTTTTAGCGTGATATACGAAAATTCGATTAAAAGAGACTTGATGTAACATAAAAAATCTACTTTCCCTACATTTCTGGGATATAAAACTATTTTTATTATTTAATGTGAATACTACTTCCCAACAATTTTTTGTGGATAAGATTCTGCAGGAGTGCAAAAAATCGAAGTTTTTTAACATCCTTTCTATCCAATATCTCGAACTATTTAGAAATTATTCAAGTGGCCTCTTTTAAGTGCCTCGTCCTATATATGGTATATAAGTACAATGTCAATACTTCAGAGTATGCAGAAAATTAATATATTATCATAGTAAGATATGAAAATGATATTTTAGCGATTCGTATGCTTTCCATATGTCCTGAAATGAATACATGTATAAAATTTATGGATGAAAATATGCAACTATGTGAGAATTCAATAGATTTTTTATACGATCATCAACAAGACTTTCTAGTCGTTGGATGTCTAGGTGCACAAGGTGTTGGTAAATCGACAATCATGTCACTGCTAACATCACGTTATTCGTACGTATTGCATTTATTTACAACTTTTTATGCTATTAGCAAAGATTTTTTTACTAAAATTGATGTTACTTCAACAATTTTATTTTACGGATAGGTCTAATATTTTTCAAGTTCAAAATTTGTCACATTACGAAAGCGGTACAAATTGTACCACTGGAATAGATTTCTTTGTAACTAAAAACAGAGTGATATATTTGGACACTCAACCAATTCTTTCTGGATTTGTGATTGACTCTGCATCCTTTGAGCAGAAAAAAAGTGCACCTGATTTTATGAATAGTGATTCTAATTTGGAATTACAATCGCTTCAATTTGCAGCATTCCTATTTTCAGTGTGCCATGTTATTATATTTGTACAAGATTGGTTTGTTGATCCAAATTTAGTAAGGTAATTATAAAAAAATTTATTAATTTATAATGTAATTACTTTTTTATTTTAAAGTTTGCAATATGTATAATAAAAAAATCTATTGCTGTTATAGATTTTTACAAACTGCAGAAATGTTAAAACCATCTTCAACAACTGTCATAGATCAAGATTATGTAGAATATTATCCACATGTTGTATTTTTGCATAATAAAGCAGAATTGCAAGATTTTATGCCTGCTATTATTGACGAAATGAAGGTACTCTATCACTATCTGTATAGCGAGTTATTGAAAAATTCCTTTATGATGTCGCAAATCTCTTAGACTATATCTTGACTATATCTCTATCTTATCCTCTTTCTATCGTCTTTATCTAAATTTCTATAAATTTAATTTTCTCATGCTGCTCTTTCTATTGTCTGTTTCTATTTCGTTAAGGATCTTTTGTTTTCTAATTGCTTTTCCAAATTGATTGCATATATAATATTTTAACATTTTAGTAATGAGCTAATTAAAATATAAATATACACTGAAAAAGAAATTGAAAATAGGAAAATTATAGTCTTGAAAATATATTAAAAATATAGAAGTGCTTGTTTGTACTGAGTGCTATTTTCAAAACTATATTTTTAAATTTTATTCTTTTCAGGATTTTTATAATAAAGTATTTTCTAGTTCTCGACTACAAACTCATAGTGGTATAGATATGAGTCATTGTTCGACAGAAAATGGGTTAAATTTATTTTTGATACCTTCGAGAACTAAAGGTAAAAATTATTTTAGATTTATAGAAAAATATATACTAATATATATTTTTATTGCAGAAGACATGATGTTTTGTGAAAATGAAGAATCCCTTATACATAAATTACGAACAAAGATACACGGAGTTCCTAGGAATTCAATTACATCTTCTATATTGACAGAAAAAAATTGGTAAATTAAATGATGGTATTGAATAATAATAATTGGTAATGAATAATAATATTGAATGATAATGGTATAACTTCTATATTTTTTAATTTTACTCGAAAGCTAAATTATTTTATCTGTTTTTTATATTATTTTGTTTCTATTTGTATTCAAATAATTTAATCATCAAATCAATAGTAAAATATAAATGAAAACTGAATAGAGTCTAGAGAAAAAATAAATAATAGATAATTCTATCCCAATAAAATCTGTAAGACATAAGATATCTGTAGATATAAGAGAAATCTATATGTGCATGAAATAATACAGGTATTATTGATAGGTTTCATTACGTTTCAAAAGTCATAGAAGTAATAAAGAAAAGTCATCTATCTTCTGAATATGGAAGATTAATGCCTTGAACCTAAAAACTTATATGGAAGAAAGATATGAAAAAAAAATAAAGGTAATTAATCTACTTTTATTATGATATATTGCTTTTATAAATTATATCTTTAAATTAAGGAGACAGGAGTGTTCAGTATACAATGTTATGTAATATATAAAATTAAATTATTAAAAAGAATAGAATAAGAATAGAATTTGTATTTAATATTTTTTACTTTTTTTAATACTATTCCATGGTTATCAATTTTTTCTTTTTTTTCTCCTTTTCTTCTCTCTCTCTCTCTCTCTCTCTCTCTCTGTTTAATATTAAATATTATAAATATCTTTTTTCAAGTAAAAAAAAAACTTTACAAACGAATTCTATTGTTTGAATTCCTTTATGAATAATCTTCTTGTTCGCTGTCACCTTGCTGCATGGATGCCATTTGCGTAACAGCTTGTAATTGTTGCCATTGTTGCTGTTCTGCGACTGCTTGTTCCTCTCTTGCTTTAGCAAATAACTCCTGTTGTTGTCGTAATAATTCTTCTTCTGGAATTCCCAAATTTTCTAATCTAGTACTTTGACGTCTTCTTTTAGCTGCTACAGCTTTGCAATCACGTAATACAGCTTCTGCTTCTGCATTGTAATCACCAAAACCTAATTTATCAAGTGCTTGTAGAACATGTTCCGCATTTATAGTTTTCTTTTGTTGTTGATTGCAAATTTCATTTGCTTCGGAAGACAGTAAGTGAATGAATTCTGTACAGCAGTTCAAGATGAGCTCTCTGGATTCGTTTGCCACTCGCACATGAGGCAAGATTTCCTTGATTATTTTATTAATTGATGCACGAGGAAGAGTAAGCTCGTCATCGTCAGTTGGTGACATTGCAGCCGAGGCCATTTAACTTCTGGAATATTAAATACATTAGAAAGTGTTTAGAATAATTCAGATCAAATTATTATAAATTTAAGATGTATAATTTATAATAAATATATTGTGTATTAATTTTTATTATCAATAAGAATAAATGTGGCACTTTAACTTTTATTAATTGTGATTATTTATGAAATTAGAGAGTAATTAATATTCCCAAAAATTTTTATGATTTTTCAATTATCTATCTCATTAAATAATA